TGTTGCTTACTTTATTTGCTAAACCTAACTAGGCTTATGTGATGTCCTGTCATAAAAAAACAATTTCAGTAGCTTTCAAACAGACATAATTTAAAAGCTACTGAAATTGTTTTTTTATGACAGGACATCACATAAGCCTAGTTAGGTTTAGCAAGTTTAGTTTCAGGAACAACAAGAACATTGGAAGAAAACTTTTAAAAAAATTCCCAAATCTATAGTTCGTGAAATGTGTAATAACAATAACTGTAAATATCTAACATAAAAATGTATACGTTTTCTCTAGAATCTCTAGGTGTGGGCGGAGCATTCATCTTCTATGGCAGTGTTTGCATAGGAGCTGCTGTAATAATTTTTTTCGTGATGCCCGAGACAAAACAGAAGAGCCTTGAAGATATCAACTTAATCCTAAGATCGGGGTAAGTCTCGATATCAAGTTTAGTAAGAAGTTAAAGATTTTCCAGTTGTCTTTGTTTCAACTACTGAAATAAGCTGTGACCTAATGTACTGCTACCTGGTGATGACATAAATGCTAAAAAAAGTGTTATGATTCTCTTCATCTGATGGTATCTAGCTCAGAAGTTGCAGTAAGAATTTACCTTTTGGGAGGCATCGGAATATTTTCAGAAAAATATGCAAGAGAAAGAAAAGACAATTGTTTTTTATTTCTTCACTGGTTAACGAAACTTATTAAGTGTTGCTGTATATAGCATTTTAAGTCATTTACTAAATTCTTAAAAGATATTTTAACATTTGCAGAATGTATCTGAAGGAGAGATGTTGCTGTTTTTGGAAGTCTTCACAAGATTATTCCGAGTATCACCCCCTCACGGAGTCGCTATCTTCCTAGTACTAGTTGAGCAATTGTTTTGTTGTTTCTCGTCATGAAAATTTGAAGTTATGAATTACATTTTTATTCTATTTAAATGGAGTTAGACTGCACCCAGTATTCATTAGTTTAAGTTGTAGGAAAAATGCTGGTTTTAGATTTTGTTGACCCTAAGATACTTATAAATTTAAAGCAGCTTATATTAATAAGACGTACAGTAATACCGGTTTAAAGTTCCAAATCAATCCCATTGATTTTTATTAATGTTCATTTTCTCAAAAGTAAATTATAGCACTTTTGATTTAATTATCATCAAAATAGTCTTTTCAAGTAGGTTAACTTTGATGGTACTTGTATATTATAATTATGAGATTTAGAGGTGTTTATGAATTTTGGTTATTTAAAACGTCCATTTGTGTGCCAAAAAGATGTAGCAAGAATAAGCAGAAAATCGTAGAATTAAATGTTATCTATTATTATTGTTATAAAATACCAAATTATATTTCAAAAAATACCTGTAGTAGCTAAAGTAAGAACATCAAAAATTATGATGTGTAAACCTGTAGTAGCTAAAGTAAGAACATCAAAAATTATGATGTGTGAACCTGTAGTAGCTAAAGTAAGAACATCAATAATTATGATGTGTAAACCTGTAGTAGCTAAAGTAAGAACAGCAATAATTATGATGTGTAAACTACTACAGGATGTTCTTACTTTAGCTACTACAGGTTTACACATCATAATTATTGATGTTCTTACTTTAGCAATAATTATGATGTGTAAAGATGTTCTTACTTTAGCTACCACAGGCTACTACAGGTTCACACATCATAATTATTGATGTTCTTACTTTAGCTACTACAGGTTTACACATCATAATTATTGATGTTCTTACTTTAGCTACTACAGGTTTACACATCATAACTATTATGTTCTTACTTTAGCTACTACAGGTTTACACATCATAATTATTGATGTTCTTACTTTAGCAAAAACTATGATGTGTAAGTTTTTAATTAATGTCTTTTGAATATTTTTTTTCTATTGTAATACCTTTTGCAGTTTTGTTTTTGAAATATTAAAGTATAGTTTGATATTAGAATAACTATTTTATCACCTGAAATTTTTATATAATTAGTTTAAAAGCTATTGTATGTTTTGAAAACTGTAAAGGTTGGTTTTGTGTGTGAACTGTGTAGCTAGTATAAAACCATTGTATGTTTTGACAATCATAAATATTATATTGGTTTTGTGTGTGAACTGTGTAGCTAGTATAAAGCTATTGTATGTTTTGACAATCATAAATACTGGTTTTGTGTGTGAACTGTGTAGCTAGTATAAAACCATTGTATGTTTTGACAATCATAAATATTATATTGGTTTTGTGTGTGAACTGTGTAGCTAGTATAAAACCATTGTATGTTTTGACAATCATAAATATTATATTGGTTTTGTGTGTGAACTGTGTAGCTAGTATAAAGCTATTGTATGTTTTGAAAATTGTAATGGTTGGTATTGTGTGTGAACTGTGTAGCTAATATAAAACCATTGTATGTTTTGAAAACTGTAAAAGTTGGTTTTGTGAGTGAACTGTGTAGCTAGTATAAAACCATTGTATGTTTTGAAAACTGTAAAAGTTGGTTTTGTGTGTGAACTGTGTAGCTACTATAAAACCATTGTATGTTTTGAAAATTGTAAAGGTTGGTTTTGTGTGTGAACTGTGTAGCTAGTATAAAACCATTGTATGTTTTGAAAACTGTAAAAGTTGGTTTTGTGTGTGAACTGTGTAGCTAGTATAAAACAATTGTATGTTTTGAAAACTGTAAAGGTTGGTTTTGTGTGTGAACTGTGTAGCTAGTATAAAACCATTGTATGTTTTGACAATTGTAAAGGTTGGTTTGTGTGTGAACTGTGTAAAACCATTGTATGTTTTGACAGTTGTAAAGGTTGGTTTTGTGTGTGAACTGTGTAAAATCATTGTATGTTTTGAAAAGTCTTCCTATTCAAACATTGTTTTTGTAAGCTTAAGCTTGAAATAGATTGCAACTCTTCAGTAACATTAAACTGACATTTATCTAAAATGTTTAAGAGTATTGTTTATTACAGTAACGGATAATAATGGTGTAGGTATCTGTTATAGTTGGTTTACAGGTAAAGGTTTCTATTTGACGAACATTGCGGTAATTAATTAATACTATCAAAAACATAAGACTGTGAAACTCGTTAACACCAAACCACTTCATTGGATAGAGATATTTTCAGCATTGTTGGTTATCTTGTGAAATTTATGTAGCTATGTTTGTTGCATTTAAACATTTGTTATACACCTCTTAACTGCTCTAGTAAAGTAGGGTTACCTAACTCAACATTAATGTAAGGAAAAATAAATTAGAGCACATTATATTTTTCATGTTTTAAATTCCTTTCATGATAATCAAAACAGGGGCAAGAAGCTCAATATTTTCGTGTAAAGAGATTATTAATTGTTATACATAGGTGTAGGTTTGAGGGCTACCTCCGTTTTCACTTGAAGCTGTGTTATGTGACTAACCCCAGATTTTGTATCTGTGGGTTGTTTCTAGGTGTATTTTCTGTGATATATTGTTTTATAAACTTGCAAAAAGAGAAATCTCGTGTTTTTTTTTGTTTTTTTTATTATAGTGCACAGTTGAGCTAAGCCTACTGTGGGCTGTGTGAATTTTACTAATTTTTGGCAATATGAATCATTTTCAACACTTGATTTATTACTTAACTTGTGAGTCTTCCATATAAAACCCTTTTTATCATATGAGCAGAGTGGCCTTAAGTGAGATTTAATCCGAACTAGAATTTCAGATGTGCAGAAGCACCATTGCCTTTAAAAATATGAATTATGCATGTGTTTTACTTTTAAGCATATTTTAGCTAGTCCTTCAAAAAATCAAATTATGCTCTCAGAAAAACTGCCCATAAGTTGTAATATTATTATCACAGTTGTTTCATGAACTTAAGATAGTGTTGACTGAAAAGGTGATTTTAATAAACTGAGTCTGTCTAGAAAGTTTTGGATGATGTTTCAAGCTGTTTACTCAGATCTTCGTCAGTTTAAAGTAATAAAGAATTGTTTAAACACGTGTTGAGACCCATATTTTTCTAGGGGTAAACAAAGAAAGTGTACTATTTAGGTATTTATAAGCATGACTGGTTCTGTGTTACTTAAAGTTAGCATCATAATAAAATTATGAATATTTCTAAAAACTTGTTTTCCGTATGTAAGAATGTGTCATGATTTGGCTATGTGGTATCCTTTTTCATGTTGATTAATTAAGCCTCTGACCATTTGTCAAGCTACATTAATTGTTTCTGATCATTTGCATAATAGATATTTACTCAAACAGTCAAAAAGGAGTTAACCCTAATCTTTCCATAAAAAAGCGGATATTAATTGGAATTATTATGCGATTATATCCACATTTAAATATCTGCAGTTTGCTAGGACTATCTAATAAGTGACGCCGTCCATCTTGTTTTTTTAAGAAATCAAAGTACACTTTGACACCGCATTTTATCTGTTTGTAATTGGTGCAGCTGAATAAGATATGTCATTTATATTTTATTGTAGTCATAATTGTGATTTATATACATATTTAATGGCGACATCTAGTGAGTAGTGCATTATTCACCTTTAAATATCGAATTAATAATGAAAAAAATTGTGTATTTTGCCCTTGCTTAAGTTTTCTGTTTACACAATAAATATATGATAATTTTAGTTAATAAAACATATACGTGGTTAGAACAAAAACGTAGAGAGATAAAAAAAGATATCATGCGCATTTTATTTTTGTTTCAAAAGAAATAGTGCAACGAACAATGTATTAGTGAGTTGTCTGTAAGTGAATGATTAAGTTAACCCTTTTTTTTATGAGAAATACTGTTTCAGTGTTTTACATCTCAATGCTTTATGTAAAAGTTAAATTACAAAGAACCTCCCCCAGATAAAATATATATATATATATAAACAAGTAATAAAAAGCTTAATAGTGATTATTTTTGTGAGTACGAAACAACTTCAATTTACATAAACTTTATGTTGTTACGAGTTATTTTTATAATATTTCACTAAAAAGTTCAATTGATATTTAGGACTTTTATAAAGATATTGGATTTATAGGACAATAGTTCACATTGTTTATTGTATAACTTTTGAATGATACATTGAATTACATTACCCATTCTTAAATAATGGACCAAAAAATCCTGCTGTTCGAATACATTCAGGTTTTAAGTTTCGTGTTTTTAATCAAGTGATTCTATAATTATTTCACATTTTCGACATATTTGCAGGGCATCTTGGTAATGAAAATACTATCTTTTTGAGTGTTTGTTATATATTAGCAAAAAAACTAATATAAGAATTTTGTATGCAATAAATGAAAATTTGATCACAAATATTTTCGTATCTTAGTCGTTTTTATGTTACATAATGTAATAGCGTCACAAGTTACCGCTTATTGGTCTTCTGCACGTGATGAGTTAATCTCGAGAACGGTGCACTGGAAGTGTTAGGAAAGATTTGAACGTTAGCTACGAAACTTTCACAACATATAAATTAGGGAATTTGTAACACGAACAATGTGATAGAACAAAATTGAGCTTTCTGTAGCGCAGGGGTCATCAAACTACGGCCTGACACTGCACTGTGCCACAAATGAGCTAAGATATAATTATTTATATGGAAATATCATAGATTGTAGATCAACTTACTATGTAGAAAAAATTTAAATAAGTGTAAGTAAAAATGTCTAAATTTGTCCAATCTGATTTTTGCATTTGACAGTAATATAAGTTTTAGGAAAATCAGTGAAATAAAAAAATTCGGCAACTTTGGATATCAGAGCGCTTTTTGTGTAAGTACCTGCATTGAGAGTTCATTCCTGTAGTCGCTTCTGATAACTTAACTTCCAAGTATTTTTTTCTAATTTTTTCTCAATCTTTTAAGAAATAACTGAACTTCCAAGTATTTTTTTCTCCATCTATTGAGAGATAACTGAACTTCCAAGTATTTT